TCTTGAACATTTATATGTAAAATTAAAAAATAATAATTTAATTTTGAATTCCATTGTACTAGTTAAAATTCTATATTTTGTCATATCACTGATTGGGTAAGGATCCCTGTCTCACTGTATTTTTTGCTATACACAGTAACCTCCCCTTACATTCTGTCTGGATATAGCAGACTAGAACAATTAGGCAAGGAAACTTCCACTGACCAGATAAGCTCAATGGGTTACAGCAATAGTTTAGCTGTCTGATCAGGGTCTAGCCCCTCGGTGTATTTTTACACTTTATCTTTACTATTTCTCATAAATGTCCCGGGAGGCAAGGTACATGGTTTTTTTCAGAAATGATTTGTCAAATCTCAAGTCAGCCGGAAACAAACAGTTTCCATTACTTTAAGTTACAGTTTTTGGCGGTGGTATGGGGATCCTTAAAAGGTCCAGACAATTATACTGCATTTATACAGGCCGTATATGTCCAAAAATGCATTAAAACATTTCAACTTTTTATTATAAAATTATTTTTGGATTTGATGAATGATGCAAGTTATAACAACTGTTCAGTAACAGTAAACAAACACAATGTCTACAAACACTACAAGAAAATTACAGCATTTTGCTGTAATGAACAAAAATTGAGCAATATTTTGTTTATTTTTAGGGTGAAATATAGTAGAAATTGGATATACATTGTACTATATTAGCTATGTTAACACTTCTTCAGCACATTTCACTATCCTGAATTATTCTCCTCACCAGCACACATCACTACACTAAAATATTCCTTCTCTTCATTAACTCACTCACTCCTGAAATTCCATAATAAACTATTCAACCCTTTGAATTTGAAGGGTCCAAATGTTAAGGGGTGAATGAGTCAACTCACTCACCCCTGAAAATCCATGATGAACTATTCCAACCTTTGAATTGGAAGAGTTCATATGTGTCTCTAGGAGTGAATGAGTGTAAGTAGGCATATGTTTTGTTCATCAAAGCTAATTCATCCACTCTTTCCCTGTTAAGATCTTATAGCGTTGCGGCTACACTTCAAGACCTAAATCATATCAGAATCGTAATGTGTGTACTACCCAGGTACACGTACTGAAACAAAAAACTGTTATGGTATGCAGATTCTGTAGGTGTTAATAACACTGACCAAACTTAACAAAAAGCACAACCCTTAGAATGAATTCATGCAGTTTAATGAATAAAGAGCTCAGGCCCTTTATCAGTAAATCAAAACAAAATGTTCTTGTATATAGCAAAAAACTATATGTTTACTTTTGCTAAATACTAGATAAAACGAAACTTAGCTTTAATTGAAACATTCAAAAAGGAACAAATAACACTATCCTACATCAACTGATATAACTTGCAATAACTGTATCTAACATCCCCTCTAACCCAAGGCTGTATCTAACATTCCTTTGAACCCAAGGCTGTATCTAACATACCCTTGAACCCAAGGCTGTATCTAAGATCCCCTTGAACCCAGGCTGTATCTAACATCCCCTTTAACCCAAGGCTGTATCTAACATCCCCTTGAACCCAATGCTGTATCTAACATTCCCCTTGAACCCAAGGCTGTATCTGACATACCCCTTGAACCCAAGGCTGTATCTAAGATCCCCTTGAACCCAGGCTGTATCTAACATCCCCTTGAACCCAATGCTGTATCTAACATTCCCCTTGAACCCAAGGCTGTATCTGACATTCCTTTGAACCCAAGGCTGTATCTAACATCCCCTCCAACCCAAGGCTGTATCTAACATTCCCCTTGAACCCAAGGCTGTATCTAACATACCCCTTGAACCAAAGGCTGTATCTAACATACCCCTTGAACCAAAGGCTGTATCTAACATTCCTTTGAACCCAAGCCTGTATCTAACATTCACTTGAAGCTAAGACTGTATCTAACATCCCCTTGAACCCAATGCTGTATCTAACATCCCCCTTGAACCCAAGGCTGTATCTAATATTCACTTGAACCCAAGGCTGTATCTAACATTCACTTGAATCTAAGACTGTATCTAACATCCCCTTGAACCCAAGACTGTATCTAACATTCCCTTGAACCCGAGGCTGTATCTAATATTCCCTTGAACCCAAGGATGTATCTAACATCCCCTTGAACCCAAGACTGTATCTAACATCCCCTTGAACCCAAGACTGTATCTAACATCCCCTTGAACCCAAGACTGTATCTAACATTCCCTTGAACCCAAGGATGTATCTAACATTCCCTTGAACCCAAAGCTGTATCTAACATCCCCTTGAACCCAAGGCTGTATCTGACATACCCCTTGAACCCAAGGCTGTATCCAATATTCACTTGAACCCAAGGCTGTATCTAACATTCACTTGAATCTAAGACTGTATCTAACATCCCCTTGAACCCAATGCTGTATCTAACATCCCCCTTGAACCCAAGGCTGTATCTAACATCCCCTCCAACCCAAGGCTGTATCTAACATTCCTTTGAAACCAAGGCTGTATCTAACATACCCCTTGAACCCAAGGCTGTATCTAACATTCCTTTGAAACCAAGGCTGCATCTAACATTCACTTGAATCTAAGACTGTATCTAACATCCCCTTGGACCCATTGCTGTATCAAACAGTCACTCTGTAATATTTCACTGTAAAATTGTGCTTAATAAATATATACAAAATACATGTAAGTTGGGCCAACAACTTTTTAATTTCTACTTTAACTTATGGTTTTTAAAGAAAGAGAAAGGGAAAGACACTTTTGCAGAAAAATGCAATATATTGCAAGATCTAATTGATTTTCTTAAATTGACGAAAACATTTAGGACGTCCGGACGAATGAATAAAAAATATTACATAGGATTTATTTTTTTAGAATATTCACCGATATATTTGTTTTCACCTTTGCGAGAAACCGAAGATAGTAATGCTTGTTAAATTAGAGAAAAATACCATGTTGGCCTCAATAACACCTTTTGTAATGGTAGAGTATATACATGCTTTAAAACAAAATCTTAATTATCTTCTAGACCCTTTCACCACTATAGACCATAATGGACTCATCCATATCAATGCATGGTAGAGTCTACTAAAGTTACCTAGGGGTGAAAGGGTTAAGGTAACAAACGGTATAGAAGTCAACAGATAAAATCAACATTTTCTCAAAATATTTCTACTTGTAGTGTAGAGATATTTCTTCAAAAGAAAACAACCTGACTTGGTATTTAACTCATTCACCCCTAAAATTTCATCATGAACTAGTCCAATCTTTGAATTGGAAGAGTTCAAATGTGTCTTCAGGGGTGAATGAGTTAACAAAAGTATCACAGACTGGTTATAACCAGGGGAAAACACACAACACATAATAACAGGTCAGACTGGCATGTAAAACAACTATCAATAAACAGTGGGACAACAAAATATACCCTTATAATTATCAACTATGTGGACAACAAAATATACCCTTATAATAATCAACTTTGTGGACAACAAAATATACCCTTATAATAATCAACTATGTATTTGATTTAAGATGCATTGTATGTATCAATACCAAATTTGTAACAGAAAGTTATGTTAAAACACGCACCAAATATACATAACTGTTTTTATATACCAATATATACGATAAAACATATAAAAATGAAAAAGTTACAAGGAGACTGAGTTTCTCAAGGCCTTTCACTGCTTTACAGCTCTTTACAGCATGACAATGACCTGCAGTTGGGAACACAGGGGCATGAGAGCTGGCAATAGTATTTATTATTTCACAGGTCCCGGGGTTGGGAGATATTCGGGTGTTTCCTGAAATATTAAGGGAGAAAATGAAGGGTTCCACTGCTGACATGTTACGTATAAGTTTCACGGCGGGTTGATATCATCCGGGGATACACATTTTAGCTTTGGGTATGCAACTGCGCTTTAGTGAGCGGGAACTCCCAAAGATTCCAGATAGCATGTTTTTGACGTTGCTATGCTGTGTATTAGGTCATAATAAAAGTCTGATATATTGTTACGTTGTTTATTTGTTACATTTTAGCAGTGATTGACCTTAAATGATAATCTATCTTTTTGTAAATTTTTCATTTTCCTATATTTTTCCTGTCACACAGATTCCAATCAAATTTTCATATTCAATAATATATAATATATATATATATGTGTGTGTGTGTCAAATATATTACAATATAACTGCTCTCATATGTAATATACATGTGTAACAAATCTTTGACACATGTGAACAAATATGATTGTCATCAGGAGATTGTCCTGTGTTTATAGTTTGGTTATACATAAGAATTTGTCAGCTTCGCTCACTTTAAGATCATTTTAAAACAATTCATACTTACCAATTCTTTTTAATTTCCATGGGGGAGATTACGCATGCTCAGAATTAAAAGCATGAATAAAGTGTGGTTATGTACACCCTATAGGGAAAAAACAACACTTTAAAATGGCATCTTTAGAGCTGGTCTTTCAGATGAAATCATTAGATTTTAGAATATAGGAATAGTTTAGCAAATTCACTGGTTGAAAAATGCTTAACTTTAGGGTCCAAAATTGGGAATCTCCCTCTAAAATAGGTAGAGTTGGCAAGTATGAAAAATGGAAATTTTAGTGTGTGGAAATGTTAGAGTTGTGACTCTTTAATGGATCGGGTGAGATTTTTTTTGCATTTGCATTATGGTTCTTAAGTCTACATGTATATACCTATAATCTATAAATACTCATATGTGGATATTTTTGCACTTATTTCCTTAAAACTTAAAACCAGAACATTTCCACACTATGAAACTTCCTATTTTACAGTATACATGGATTCGACATGTGTATTTATTGTATCATAAGCTAAGACTCAAAACTAAAGCCTTTAAGAAAATTCCCCACTCAAATATGTTTTGAAAATACCGGTACAACAGATTAAAACATAAATTAAAGTTCTATTAAATTTATGTATAAATATCTGTATTTAATAATTTTCAAAAAAAAAACTTTTTTTTTTTACTTATTGTTGTAGGTTTGAAAGATATAGATACATATACACCTTCACACGTGATAAAATAATGTCTATAAATACATTTTTAACCTAGCAGAATTTCTTGACAAAAATTCTGAATTTCAAAAATACATTTACATGAAGACCCATACACATTCACAACAACGTGGATGAATTGATCTCAAGAATGGTATCCCAAAATTACAATGAGCTGTTTTGTTTATCGTATTTAACATCTACACAGTATGGTCAACGTATCTCGAGATGACATTGCCTTCTGACTATTTAACTCATGTTCTTATGTGAAGGACAATTTAAACAAAAACAGTTTAACATCTTGTTTCACAAACAACCTATATTAAATATGGAAACGTTCCCAGCATCGGAAGTCAATATTTCCTTAAATATAAACAATTACAGTAATAAATATTTCCTTCATTTTTATATACAGTTACAATGTGAGCTTGACATGAAATATTTTTTTTTCAAAAAATGTCAATTAATTATTTCCCAATGGGTGGCAAGAATTTATTGGACGAAGAATCATCAGCCAATCCGCTGTCTTGTTTCTGGAGCTGTTGGCTGAGGTTGAGTTTGACCACCTCCTCGGTGACCAGCTGACCTCCGGTATCGGTGTCCGACGTGGTAGCGGGGGGTTTGCGAGCACTCTTGGTGACCGACTTAGCACTAGGAGCTGTAAAGTAATTCGGGCCTGTATAAAACAGAGTGGGAACAACACATCTGTAACAACACCACCACCAAAGCAAGCACATGCAGGAAATACACCGTACCTCACTCACCTCGTGAGGAATGCTGGTCATACAGATACAGTCCCTTTATACCTCTTTGTCATGCGACGTGTAAAGTGGCTTCCAGCCCAGAAGTTTTTCGTTAAGAATTTTTTCCAATTTTTCTAATATCTTATCTCCCCTTAGTTTGAAACTAAGGATCAGACAATCAAGTGATAAAAATCACTCGAACATTAGTTTTTTTCTGAATAATTAAATATTATACAGACAAAGGCCAGTCTACTTGCCATGGTACAATCTTTGCTATAGCTGTAAGTTCTGATAACATTTTGTAATTTATCATGCATCATTGGATCCTGAAGACATTTATAAAAACATATAATAAACTATTTGAGTTGACCACAGTTGTTATCATTATCTTAGGACCTTCTCCCATAACAAGAAATATGTACAAAAAGCCAATATTACAAACGACTATATTTCATAACATAAGGGAAAAAATTGTCAAAAATCTTGTAGGATAATATATTTATCCCAAAATCACTTCAGTTTTTTTCTCCTTAAAAAAAATTGATGTTCAATTTCACTTTGTGGTTGGATATCATACAAAATGAAGATGTTAAAGAATCATTCTTTTAACATCTTCATTTTGTATGATATCCAACCACAAAGTGACATTGGTGCATAAGTAGAACATCAAATTTTTTTAAGAAGAAAAATACTGACGTGATTTTGGGATAAATATATTATCCTACAAAATTTTAACAAAAACATTTAAGTACTAAGCTATTTTGGAGCTACTGCTCTTGGGCCAGCAAAGATTGTACCTTCACACAGTTCCAAGAAGCCAGGGATTATAGCTGTATGGCCATCATATAAACTTCTCTACGTAGGCCAGTGAGCTAGGATATCAGCACTAAAGCAAAGTATCTAAAGCAAGCATTTCACTAAGCAATGTTCTCCAAGGAAAGAAATCTTTGCAATGATCATTGACATGAATCTGTGTATCAGTGTATAGGATTTTTTTTAAATACTCTTTAAAGATATGTAAATATACCTGTTTGAATTTTATAAAAATTATGAAGAATTTTGAATTTTGACAAAGTTTGTCATTAAGCCAATGAAATTTGAAACATTTCTGGCATAGAAGTCAAAAGAGTCGAAAATCGTAGCTTTCAGTTTGCTATCTTCAAAGCTCATCTTAAACTTTATAATAAACTTTATTTATTTTACAACAATTGTGAAACTTATATTAATCACTCTTGTTGGCCGGGATGTTAGCGCGGTGGGTCTGCATGTGGGAAGAAACCAGAGTACCCAGGGAAATCCCACATGGTCGGACAGGTGACCCCATACCTTTTCACGTCCGATCGGGGAATCGAACCCCGGCCGCCTTGGTGAAAGGCAAGTGCGCTATCCACTGCACCACCCGCGACCTCCCTATACCTTTAGCTTTGATTCAAAGTTTTCAAGTAGAGAGGCACTGGTGAATAATATTTCCTTTAAATTATTTTAATCTCTTTCCTTTGGAGAACACATGAAAAATAATATCATGCATACATTCATGGAAAAATATATTGTAAAAATGAAAGTCATGATAGAAAACAAAAGTTTGATTGTGATAATATTGTAAATCTATACCAGTGTAATTTAACATTGAGTCATAAGATTGTAATAAGATAACAGATATATATATATGTTTAGTATTAATCAGAGTACATAAACACCCTAATACAGTATTAATAATCGATACAATAATTATACTAATAATAGTATTTTACTATTAGTAAATCTATATATTTAATGTTATTTAATGATAAGATTCCTAGTACAGGACTCTGTATCCTCAACACCAGACTCAAGATAAAGTAATTGTGTTATAAACAGAAACGTTTATTGTAATTGCACGATACAGTTCATAGTTTAGTTCTGAAGTTACGTAATAGATCAATAGTTTCCCATTTATAATTTATCCAGTTCATTTTTGAAAGTTGAAGTTATTGGGACATACAACGCTTTCTGGTAAGTTATTCCACACATTTTGCAGTTCTAAGTAAAAAGCTAGTTCAAGGTACCTTATCAAAAAATGTCCCCTGTTGAAACAGTAGAAGAATCAACTGATGTGAAATTTCAATAAGATTTTACGGGTATAAAGTTAATGGATTACAATATTAAACTATGATGTGGTCAATATTGCCCTGTTGACTTTGATTTTAGGAACATGTATCTGATCATTTTGATTTATGCTTCAAGGCTTCCTGGCCCAATGAAGTCAATGTAGGAGGCACGATAGTCTAGTGGTAGGACGCCGGGCTTGTGACCGAAGGGTTGCGGGTTCAAGTCACGGCACAGCACTGTGTTGTATCTTTGAGCAAGGTACTTTACTCCGCTTATTCCAGTCTACTCAGCTGTAAATGAGTACGTGGTTGGGCAGTGCTAGAATTGTAGAATGCTAGCTGTGAGTGCCGAAATGGCAGCACCGGCTGTATGCTCCCCAGGGATTTGAGAAAGATATTGGCTAGTTGCAAAGGCCCTATAGCCATGGATAATAATTTGTGAACCGCTTTGAGATGACCTACAAACTAGGTTGTGATAAAGAGGTATATAAGAACCTTGAATTATTATTACTATTATCATAACACTTTTCCCTGTAGTTTTTTTAATTTAATGTTACCTCCCCTGAAATTTGTTACAGTACCGGTAGTTGTCCTATTTTCCCTGAATCACCTCCCTTTTCTTTTTCATTTTGGATTACACTGTAGCAGGAGTGGGCCAGGACTGATGATCAAGTTGCTCAATTGTATGTAACGACCGTCTTAGTTTCAGAGATCCAGGGATCCAAGCCTAGTCTGACCCCATTGTATTTTCAATCTTTCTGTTACCATTTACATAGTTTATACTTATGTTCATACTGTTGTCAATCACATTTGAAGTAAATATTCTTGTTTTATAAGACAAAGTGTAAATGCTAACAGCTATATGTATATATATTTGATATAAAAAATGACATACAATATGTCGTAAATCATACTCAATATTAGAGTTATCTCCCTTTTTGATAATACTTATTGTATGGTTGATTAGTTACATTTCAATTTTTATCACAGCATTTACTTTTTTTTCAACAGATGTATCACATTTTTCAGCTAAAAAATTTAAAACAATATTGAGATTTTTTAAGTCAATACTGAATTATGAAGCCAAATTGTATGTATCAAAATGAACACTTCAGTCTTACTAAAAGGTTAGTACCTTAGCATACATTAACAACCAAAATCCTCAGATCAAACACCTACACAAAGCAGTGTTTAGACACAAACCAGAACCTATGTTATCAATATCAACAAGTCAAATCACTTAACTAAAGCAGTTAATTTACGTTACCAATTCCCCAATCAACCACAAACATTCTACCTTTTCGTCTTCTTAGAGCTTTTTCCCTTCATTAAATAGAAATTTTTCCTTAATCATTTGAAATAGTTGAGTGTGTTTCACAAAATTGTTTATCCTAATTCTCTCCGGAAGGCTGTAAGCGTGGGTGTCGACAATTCACACTATTACCTGTACGCTGTACATGTACGTGACACTCGTTTCCTATCTGCTCAAAATTGAGTCTGGTAAAGCATTAATAATACCAATGACACTTCAGTTTATTTTTTTAGAAAGAGCGATGGATTTTATGCATGGTCCACCAACAGTCATGTTGGCACTCAACTGTTATTTATTTTTTGACAGAGTTATGTATTTCTATGTTTGTTTAAAAACAGTCATCCTATGATACGTAAATTGTTAACAAACCTTTTGCTAATTTTACAACAACAAATGTTTGAAATTATATCAGGGAAACGTTACGAATATCTGGGTATGATACAAAATATAGAGTAAAAGAGATAAAGTAATAGACAGATATTAAATGCTGCAAACAAATAGGAAGAGTGAGCTTTCTATGTTACTAGCTATAAAAGTTGTGCCTTCAAGACAGTAAGGTGTAACAGGTTTGCAGGTTACCTACTTAACATGTGAGAGGAGTGCAAGGGAGAGTCTGTGTCTACAACACAAAGCTCAAGATCAGAGTAAGTAACAAAAGTCAAGGTCGTGATTAGTAACATAAGCTAATTCAAGGTATAACAGGATTACTGTCAAGGTCAGGATTAAAGTAGTCAAGGTTGATTTATTACACAAAGGTCAATGTATGATTAGTAACACAAAGGTCAAGGTATGATTAGTAACACAATGGTCAAGGTATGATATGAAACACAAAGGTCAATGAGTGATTAGTAACACAAAGGTCGATAGGCCTTTACCCCAGCATGCTACTGGCCAAATATCATCACCCTGGGCATTTCAGTTATTCAGAAGAAGTTGTTTAAAGTTTTTAACATATTTGACCCCTGTGACCTTGAATATGGGTGAAGGTCATTCATTTGAACAAACTTGATAGCCCTTTACCCTAGCATGCTTCTGGCCAAATATCACCACCCTGGGCATTTTGGTTATTGAGCAGAAGTTGTTTTAAGTTTTTAACATATTTGACCCCTGTGATCTTGAATATGGGTTGAGGTCATGTATTTGAACAAACGTTGTAGCCCTTTATCTCAGCATGCTACTGGCCAAATATCATTTCCCTGGGCATTTTGGTTATTGAGAAAAAGTTGTTTAAAGTTTTTATCATATTTGCCCCGTGACCTTGGCTATTGGTGAAGGACATTCATTTGAACAAACTTTGTAGCCCTTCATCTCAGCATGCTACTGGCCAAATATCATTCCCCTGGGCATTTTGGTTATTGAGAAGAAGTTGTTTAAAGTTTTTATCATATTTGACCCGTGACCTTGCCTATTGGTGAAGGTCATTCATTTGAACAAACTTTGTAGCCCTTCATCTCAGCATGCAAATGGCAAAATATCATCACCCTGGGCATTTTGGTCTTTGAGAAGAAGTTGTTCAAAGTTTTTAACATATTTGACCCCTGTGATCTTGAATATGTGTTGAGGTCATGTATTTGAACAAACGTTGTAGCCCTTGATCTCAGCATGCTACTGGCCAAATATCATCACCCTGGGCATTTTAGTTATTCAGAAGAAGTTGTTTAAAGTTTTTAACAAATTTGACCCCTGTGACCTTGAATATGGGTGAAGGTCATTAATTTTAACAAACTTTGTAGCCCTTCATTTCAGTTTGCTTCTGGCCATATATCATCACCCTAGGCCTTTCGGTAATTAAGAAGAAGTTGTTTAAAGTAAAATATTGACGCTGGACGCCATACTACCGGACGGACGGACGGATGGACGACGGACGCCGCGCCACGGCATAAGCTCACTTGGCACTTTGTGCCAGGTGAGCTAAAAACACAAAGGTCAAGGTATGATAAGAAACACAAAGGTCAAGGTATGATAAGAAACAAAGGTCAAGGTATGATTAACGGTAGTAACACATAGGTGAAGGTGTGATTATCAACTTAAAGGTAAAATTACTTTAAATATACAATGTTTAGGTAGATGTTTATTATTGCCATTAAACAAACTGAAGGGAATATTATAATATTTAAAAAGTCAAAAGTTTGAAAAACAAAAGACACATAACACACATGTACAAATTTAAATGTCAAAGGTCAACATAATGAGATTTGTTACCAATTTGGATGCATTTACCCTACAGATATGTGTTATACAGAAACCTACATATAACCATGTGGGGTAAGACAATTTACACAAAATGTCATCTTCAAGTTGGTGACATTGCAAGAAATGATATTGACATCATTATTAAGTGAACTGTTAAACATGTTATTCAAGTTTTCAAGTTATTTAAATAAGACAGATTCTGAAGAAAATTGGAGATTGATTTATAAATCAACTTTTGCATTTTATCAATCTATGTACCTCGTGCTATCTCCTCATGTTTTTGTTCTGCCGATGCTCCCACCGGAGGGACCCGTTCTCGTACTTTGGCACTCTTTCTCTCCTTCAGATTCACCTTCCAGTTTTCTCCGCTCTTTTGACGTTCTATTGAATATACATTAAAATCATTAAATTTAAAATATATTTCATTTGTTTTTTAACTAAACATTGAAGAAATTTAGTGCCATGTTATACAATAATTTTCCTCAAATAAATGTGGAAATAGCATGTGGTCAAATTAACCTGTACTCTACTGTTACCCTAAAAAGGATGTTGACACCTACTGTTACCCTTTATAGGGTGTCAATATATAAATGTGACATTCATTAGCAGGTGACAGTGAATATTGTCAACCCAAGAAAACAATTCTCACCCGAGGCGAAGCCGAGGGTGACAATGGGTTTTTGAGGGTTGACAATATTCACTTTCACCTGCTAATGAATGTCATATCTATTTTGTTACCAAAAGTCTTTGTAGCTCAGGAACAGCAGCAAACCTCAATAATGACATCTTGTTTGTTGATAGTCTGCTGTTTACAATCGCTATCACATCGGCGCTTGATAAAATTGGCTGTTTCGTCAAACGTTCTTGTGACCATCACGGTGGGGAAACGAAGCGGTGAACACACATTTTTCGCGCATGTGATATTTTACACTGTCTCATGGCAATATCACCCGCGCCCCTTAAAACCAATGTATTTTTGTTTTATTTTCTCCCAACCAATCAAATATCTAGAAATTCACTTGAGGTGTAACAACACCTAATATTACCCTATAGAGGATGTTAACACCTACTGTTACCCTTTATAGGGTGTAGACACCTGTTGTTACCATTTATAGGGTGCAGACACCTACTGTTACCCTATAGAGGATGTAGACACCTACTGTTACCCTTAATAGGGTGTAGAACCTACTGTTACCCTTTATAGGATGTAGACACCTACAGTTACCCTTTATAGGGTGTAGCACCTACTGTTACCCTATAGAGGATGTAGACACCTACTGTTACCCTTAATAGGGTGTAGACACTTACTGTTACCCTTTATAGGATGTAGACACCTACAGTTACCCTTTATAGGGTGTAGACACCTACTGTTACCCTTTATAGGGTGTAGACACCTACTGTTACCCTATAGAGGCTTTCCATTACCTTTATAGGGTGTAGACACCTACTGTTACCCTATAGAGGATGTAGACACCTACTGTTACCCTTAATAGGGTGTAGACACATACTAATACCCTTTATAGGGTGTAGACACCTACTGTTACCCTTAATAGGGTGAAGACACCTACTGTTACCCTTTATAGGATGTAGACACTTACTGTTACCCTTTATAGGGTGTAGACACCTACTGTCACCCTTTATAGGGTGTAGACACCTACTGTTACCCTTTATAGGATGTAGATACCTACTGTTACCCTTTATAGGGTGTAGACACCTACTGTTACCCTATAGAGGCTTTTCATTACCTTTATAGGGTGTAGACACCTACTGGTACCCTTTATAGGGTGTAGACAGCTACTGTCACCGTTTATAGGGTGTAGACACCTACTGTTACCCCTTATAGGATGTAGACACCTACTGTTACCCTTAATAGGGTGAAGACACCTACTGTTACCCTTTATAGGGTGCAGACAGCTACTGTTCCCCTTTATAGGGTGTAGACACCTACTGGTACCCTTTATAGGGTGTAGACAGCTACTGTCACCGTTTATAGGGTGTAGACACCTACTGTTACCCTTTATAGGATGTAGACACCTACTGTTACTCTTTATACGGTGTAGACACCTACTGTTACCCTTTATAGGATGTAGACACCTACTGTTACTCTTTATACGGTGTAGACACCTACTGTTACCCTTTATAGGGTGTAGACACCTACTGTTACCCTTTATAGGGTGTAGACACCTAATATTACCCTATAGAGGATGTTGACACATACTGTTATCCTGTAGATAAGGATATAATTAGGCTAACCATTACCTTTATAGGGGGTAGACACCTACTGTTACCCTATAGAGGATGTAGACACCTACTGTTACCCTTTATAGGGTGTAGACTCCTACTGTTACCCTTTATAGGGTGTAGACATCTACTGTTACCCTTTATGGGGTGTAGACACCTACTGTTACCCTTCATGGGGTGTAGACACCTACTGTTACCCTTTATAGGGTGTAGACACCTACTGTTACCCTTTATAGGGTGTAGACACCTACTGTTACCCTTTATAGGGTGAAGACACCTACTGTTACCCTTTATAGGGTGTAGACACCTGTTGTTACCATTTATAGGGTGCAGACACCTACTGTTACCCTATAGAGGATGTAGACACCTACTGTTACCCTTTATAGGATGTAGACACCTACTGTTACCCTGTAGATAAGGATATAATTAGGCTAACCATTACCTTTATAGGGTGTAGACACCTACTGTTAACCTTTATAGGGTTAGACACCTACTGTTACCCTTTATGGGGTGTAGACACCTACTGTTACCCTTTATAAAGTGTAGAAGCCTATTGTTTCCCTTTAGAACAGGATGTGATTAGGCTTACCTTTACCTTTTATTGGAGGCTGTGCTGGAACCTTGTAAGGATCTGGCTTGTACACCTCAGAGGCATTTGTGGACTCAGACACAGCCGGAGAGGTTCGATGTACAGACTTATGGTTTCTATTTGAGTCACGTCCTCGCCGGTGAACTAAACCTTCTGTGATCCACTCATGTTGGAGTGCCTCCTCTGGCGTCAATCTTATACTGGGGTCCCATCTAGAACAGAAATCTCACATTTCACTGGCAACCTCATTAACTATGGTGTCTCATCTTCAATAGGAATCTCACATAATATGGTCTTGTCAGCGACAACTTAGTCAACAGCTGGCGTATCATCTACAATGTCATGAGGGGATTACCATGATTTAATGATACTACCAGTATATTCAAAACTGCTTCACCCTTGAACAAAATATTGATATTCTACCATTGTTTTACTCATTCACCCTTTAATTTTCACAATATACTATTCCAACCTTTGAATTGGAAGAGTTCAAATGACCCTTCAGAGGTGATTGAGTAAAAATAGATATATGGTATTAAACAGTACACCGTTACAGGGCTTTCAGTTGACCCTTGACATTCAGCAATTCAAAAGTCAAATAGAATCTTCCCCGAAACTTTGAAAAGTCAAATTATCTCAAATACACCTGTCCTTTAAAGTCCATTGAGTCAAAAACATACTCTTAAGGGTCTACTGAAACCCTCATCATTAAATATTCTCTATTTATCTGTTTCCTGGTGTTGCTTACTCAAGACAGCGTCGGATGAAGTCAAGGAAGTTAGCGTCACTGGTCTTTACAGCCTGTTGCAGGTCCTTGGATCCCACGCGTCGCTTTTTACCCTTACTATTGGTGATGCACCGCGGATTGCACTTGGAGTCTACAACATCAACAACATTGTCCATTATAAAAGCAACAGTTATAAAGTTGTGTAGTATATCTTAGCAAAGAAGTTGGAAATTTGTATTACACGAAATATGCACTTTCTTTTGCAGCTTTAGCTAAACACACTGTTTACCCCCCTGTCCTGTGAAATCCAGATTTGCCCAGTGTTATGTTCGCCTGACACATTTAATTTCTCATAATGTACCACAAGAATCCTTGACCTACCAAGAGTCCCCTCCCGATAACCTCATTTAGGACCTTTGAATATACTAGAAGAATGACCTATTAAAGAAAAATTACCCTCCTGGTGGCCTCTTTTAGAACCTGTCAATTTAGACTAAACAGACCACTTCTAGGATCCCTGCACTACCAAAGAACTGTCCACTCCTGGTGGCCTCATTTAAGATCTATGAATCTACTAAAATCCCTGACTTACCAAAGAACTGTCCACTCCTGTTGGCCTCATTTAAGATCTATGAATCTACTAGAATCCCTGACTTACCAAAGAACTGTCCCCTCCTGGTGGCCTAATTTAAGATCTATGAATCTTCTAGAATCCCTGACTTACCAAAGAACAGTCCCCTCCTGGTGGCCTCATTTAGGATCTATGAATCTACTAGAATCCCTGACTTACCAAAAAACAGTCCCCTCCTGGTGGCCTCATTTAGGATCTATGAATCTAATAGAATCCCTGACTTACCAAAGAACAGTCCCCTCCTGGTGGCCTCATTTAAGATCTATGAATCTTCTAGAATCCCTGACTTACCAAAGAACTGTCTCCTCCTGGTGGCCTCATTTAGGATCTATGAATCTTCTAGAATCCCTGACTTACCAAAGAACTGTCTCCTCCTGGTGGCCTCATTTAGGATCTATGAATCTACTAGAATCCCTGACTTACCAAAGAACTGTCCCCTCCTGGTGGCCTCATTTAGGATCTATGAATCTGCTAGAATCCCTGATTTACCAAAGAACTGTCCCCTCCTGGTGGCCTCATTTAGGATCTATGAATCTACTAGAATCCCTGACTTACCAAAGAAAAGTCTCTTCCTTGTTGCCTGGTCTAGGACTTGTGAGGGTGGTAGACCTAACACCTCCATGATACAGGCAAGTTGTTCCACCTCATTTTCCCCTGGGAAGAGTGGGTATCCGGTGTAGAGCTCTGCTAGGATACAGCCAAAACTCCACATGTCTATGGGCATGGAGTAGGGGTATCCTAGTATTACTTCAGGGGACCGGTAAAACCTACTCTGGATGTAGGTGTATACTGTAAAGCATACAGGAAACATTTACAACAACATACCCTTAGTAGCAAATTGTTTTTCTTTGTTCACAATTCCATACTTTTTTTCTTGTTTCAACAGAAATTTCAACAACATATTGTAATTGTACATAAAAGACATTTTGTATCGTATTGTACCGTATCTAATTTTGAATAAAATTTGCAAAACAAAAAACTTTCTTCAAATTATGCATGTGACCTTGACCTTATACTTTGTTAATCGTGACCTTGAACCAGCTGTCAAATCTACTTACCTCTCTGATGTTCGTAACAACTTGACCCAAAGTCTATGACCTTTATTGAACTTTGACCTCTTTGTCGTAATAAAATATTTTCCTGTAGAGAAAAGTAAAGAAAATAAAAGCATATATTAATTACAAGATAGCGTTATATTATTTTTTTCAAATTAAAAGCACATGATCGCATTTATACAGCAGACACTGACTTGATAATTATGCAATATTAGGGCCTTCTCAAAATAGATAGGAGCATTCATTTAAGCTTCAATAGCAATGCATGTGTCATAATTACAGTTCACTTGTTGACAGACTTGTGTACAACTGTGATCGATCTGGCCAACACCATCCTCCACTTCCGCAATACTCCAGGGGTATTGCTCACTATCGCTCTCTGCATCCCTGGAGTTTGTCATAGCAAGATCAAAGGCTCAGTGGATGAGACAAGAAGACTGGTTTTATCCTTGTACATCAAAAGAATTATGCGGTCGCATAACCGTAAAATTGACTGGCTTTGAAATCGGTTGTCCCTCCCTCCTCTGTAATCTTCAAAGAACAGGTATCAGCCTAGAGATTGGTCAGGGTTTTTTACCCGAGACCAATCAAATAGCTAGCAATGTGCCTTCAATTTTGCTAAGACATAATCCAGGGGTGCAGAGAGCGAAAGTGAGTGTAACCTCTGGAGTGTCGAGGCTGCACCCTCCAAAATTGATGTCATATAAACTTAGTTATAAAACCTCAAATAAATGGCCAAGTTATCAGATAAACGCTGAGTTATCAGATAAATGGCTGAGTTATCAGATAAATGGCTGAGTTACTTACTGGTTTTAAATCACAGTGGATTATACGGTCCCGCTGCAGCAGTTTAAGACACTGTAGTAGGGAGAAGGCAAAGCGACGTATCAGTGCTATACTGAAACCCTGGAAGTTGTTCTTCTTTATCAGTTCATACAGGTTCATCCTGTCAAATAACAATACAAACTGTCAAACAAAAACATCAGGCAGCAGAGACTTATCAAATATTTCTTCATCACCATTTAGTTGAAATTAAATGCATGGTTTGTTAGATATTTTGTAATGTATTCAAAGTTATGGAAAATTTTATCAGCAAATCAGAACCAAAAAGATTCTGTGAACCAATGAAAACGAATTAAGAAATTGGCCATTAGCCAATCATAAAGCGAATTATATTAACCAATCAGAAATAAGAAGTATTCCAATAACCAATCAAAAGATATACAGACACACATATGTATGCTTGCATGGACAGATTCTTCAACACTCAAGCAGACAGACAAACAGAATCACCCAAAAAGACGTGCAGGTTGACACTCACACACGACTTACCCCATGAGTTCAAAGGTGATACACAAGTGATTGCGGAAGCAGAAGTATTCTCCCATGTGTATGATGTTAAACTGGTTGTCTTTGTCCTTACGACGCAGTGCATCCAGGATCTTCACTTCCACCAACGCCTGGTGGTGGAACCTGGGAATTGGAAGCATATAAATTATTGAAGTACACATATTTAACTGCATGGACACATTACAGAGGTTTTATTGGAGATGGGAAGCATACATTGTTGACTTACTAATCTTGGGGTTTTGGGCATTCATTATTAAAGTATACATTTACTTGGAGTCACAGGGGACCATACAATAAGTAGGCATTTATCTGAGGGCCACGAAAGGATACATTATTAAGATACTTATCTAGGGGTGGGGATCGTACATTATTGAGATACTTATCTAGGGGGTTGGGATCATACATTATTTAGATACTTATCTAGGGGTGGGGATCATACATTATTTAGATACTTATCTAGGAGTGGGGATCACACATTATTTAGATACTTATATAGGGGTGGGGATCATACATTATTGTGATACTTATCTAGGGGTGGGGATCATACATTATTGAGATACTTATCTAGAGGGGTTGGGATCATACATTATTTAGATACTTATCTAGGGAGTTGGGATCATACATTATTTAGATACTTATCTAGGAGGTTGGGATCATACATTATTTAGATACTTATCTAAGGGTGGGGATCATACATTATTGAGATACTTATCTAGGGGTGGGGATCATACATTATTTAGATACTTATCTAAGGGTTGGGATCATACATTATTGAGATACTTATCTTAGGGTGGGGATCATACATTATTGAGATACTTATCTAGGAGTGGGGATCATACAATATTGTGATACTTATCTAAGGGTGGAGATCATACATTATTGTGATACTTATCTAGGGGTGGGGATCATACATTATTGAGATACTTGTCTAGGGATGGGGTGTAACCTTATTGTAGATTTATCTAGGGATGCTAATTAGCATACATTTTTGTATAGATTTATCTAGGGATGCTAATTAGCATACATTTTTGTATAGATTTATCTAGGGATGCTAATTAGCATACATTTTTGTATAGATTTATCTAGGAAGGCTAATTAGCATACATTTTTGTATAGATTTATCTAGGAAGGGGAGCATACATTAATGGGAAAGGTAACCTTAAGCTTTGGATGGGGATACCCCATCATCCATATGTTTTTAAGGAAAAGAAACCTTGCATAGGGCCGACAACATATTATAGAAGATTGGGAGAAGTTCAGAACCAGGGTGTCAAAACTGTATATGTTACATGATCTGAGGTACGTAACTCCTAGACCACATGCAAATGAAACACAGTCATCAATTACATCACAATTTAAGAGAATGACATCCTCGATACTCCCAAGGGTTACGCCCACTTTCGTTCTCTACACCTGGAATATGTCATAGCAAAATCGAAGGCTCAGTATGCACCACCTTGTGGATGAGACGAGAAGACTATTTTGATCCTTTGATGTACACCAAAAGAATATTTCCTTCTGTCTCGTAACAGTAAAATAAACTGGCTTTGAGCCAGGTGTTGCTCCTTTGTAATCTTCAAAAGAACAGGTTACATCATCATACTGATTGGTCAGGTATCTTTACCTGAAATCAATCAAAAGCTAGCTGTGCAGGTGTGCCTTATCGTATTTAATGTTTGCCTTCGATTTTACTATGACATTTTCCAGGGGTGCAGAGATTGAATGTGAAAGTAACCCCTGGATCACACTGATTGGTCAGGTATCTTTACCTGAGATCATTCAAATAACTAGCTGTGTGCCTTATACTATTTAATGTGTGCCTTTGATTTTTCTATGACATATTCCAAGGGTGCAGAGAGTGAATGTGAGGTTAACCCCTGGATATTGAGAATGAGATAATGAAGGCACAGAGATATTCAAATATTTTCCTGTGTAGTTCTTTTCGCTAGAAAAACAAAATATTATTTGACGATATCTTAATGAATTTGATGTATTTCGTTATAGCTCGATAGTTATTGTATCCAAATCCAATATATGCACAACAGATAACTAAATTTGATTCCACGCATCAAAAACGTATATATACAGTTGTTTACATGCGAATGTTACAAGGATAATCATAAATGCTGTGTTAGTATTTAATGTGTAGTAAGTCATTTTCGTGTCCTGTTTTTCATAAAGACCTCCGCTGTTTTCGAAGACATAAAACCCTGAACAAATAAACCAGGTCATGAGAAAGTGCATATAAACTCAGGGTACAGATGAAAAGGAAATGATGTGTTCACTAAACATGCAATAGGTACCTGATCATGTGATACAAACAAACAACATTACAAACCTTTTCTTGTTTCGTATGATTTTGATCGCTACCATTTGGTCAGTCTTGTGGTCATAACACTTGACCACTTGACCGAAGGACCCCTTGCCCAGGACTTCAAGGATCTCATAGCGATACACCATGTGGTCATGCATGACCTTCAAAACAAGCGAAAAAACAGCAAGGTCAGAACTAGGCAAGCATACACAGGAAGGTGAAGGTCATATAGACAGGCAAGCATATAAGGTAAAGCTATATAAATTGTGCAAGTGGTAAGACAAGAGGCCCATGGGCCTTAACGGTCACCTGAGTCCTACAGTATTTGTTTTTGTTGTTGAAATATGTACCAATTTGAGTAAAAAATAGTTAAGTATAATGGCAATCAAATTGTATTTCTGATTGACCCAACACTTTGTCAGGACCATGATTCGATCATTCCTACAAAGTTTCAGTTCAATCGGCCAAGTAGAACTTTACTTGAAGTTTGAAATAGTTTTTCAAAATGGCGGCTGTGGCGGCCATATTGGATTTCTGATCGACCCGAAAAATAACAACACTTTGTCAAGACCATGAGTCGATCATTCCTACAAAGTTTCAGTTCAATCGACCCAGTCAAACTTGACTTTAAGTTTGAAATAGTTTTTCAAAATGGCGACCATGACGGCCATATTGGATTTCTGATTGACCTGAAAAATAACAACACTTTGTCAGGACCATGAGTCGATCATTCCTACAAAGTTTCAGTTCAATCGGCCTAGCAGAACTTGACTTTAAGTTTGAAATATTATTTCAAAATGGTGGTCGTGGTGGCCATATTGGATTTCTGATTGACCCGAAAAATAACAACACTTTGTCAGGACCATGAGTTGATCATTCCTACCAACTTTCAGTTCAATCTGCCCAGCAGAACTTGACTTTAAGTTTGAAATAGTTTTTCAAAATGGCGGCCGTGGCGGCCATATTGGATTTCTGATCGACCCGAAAAATAACAACACTTTGTCAGGACCATGAGTCGATCATTCCTACCAACTTTCAGTTCAATCGGCCCAGCAGAACTTGACTTTAAGTTTGAAATGTAAAATGTTAACGGACGACGGACGACGGACGACGGACGACGACGGACGAAGACGGATAGCAATAGGTCACTTGAGCTAAAGCTCAGGTGACCTAAAAAACTGTAGAAATGGTTAGTTTTTCTGTAACACCATCCTTAGGTAGCATGTAGTCATTTGTAACAGGAAGGAGACCAGTTGGCTTCCAGTGGGGATCAAACCCTTGATCACCGACTTACTAGTCGGATGCTCAGACCACTGAGCTAAAGGGAAATTCCCTCTAGCACAAATCTAATTGTAATCCTACGTACAAATGAAATCTGCCACAAATTGAACAATTTTTGACCAGGGTACAACTATTCCAAGTATACTTAACCCCTTGTAACAATCAAATATTCAAAATCTCAATGCTATAACTGAAGCTTCGAAATACCGTACTCTATGCCCAACACCTACCTGGAGGGATCAAATATATACCAACACCTATATTTTTGTATTTAGGATTGTCAAAGATAATCTAGATCTTAATTCTAACTGGGCTGGTTAAATATATTGATTGATATCTCACAACTAATCAAGATTGTAAAATACTCTAGCCCTCATAGCTTATCAGGGTCGCCAATTATTCTAAAGACTCCAACAGTTAGCTGGTTGATGACACACTATAGACCTCATAGCTATAACCAGGGCTGTCAAATAATCCAGACCTTATAGCTATAACCAGGGCTGTCAAATAATCCAGACCTTATAGCTATAACCAGGGCTGTCAAATAATCCAGACCTTATAGCTATAACCAGGGCTGTCAAATAATCCAGACCTNTCAGGGTCGCCAATTATTCTACAGACTCAAACAGTTACCTAGTTGATGACACACTATAGACCTCATAACTATAACAAAGAATGTCAAATATCCCAGACCTCATAGCTTATCAGGGTCGCCAATTATTCTACAGACTCAAACAGTTACCTAGTTGATGACACACTATAGACCTCATAACTATAACAAAGAATGTCAAATATCCCAGACCTCATAGCTTATCAGGGTCGCCAATTATTCTACAGACTCAAACAGTTACCTAGTTGATGACACACTATAGACCTCATAACTATAACAAAGAATGTCAAATATCCCAGACCTCATAGCTTATCAGGGTCGCCAATTATTCTACAGACTCAAACAGTTACCTAGTTGATGACACACTATAGACCTCATAACTATAACAAAGAATGTCAAATATCCCAGACCTCATAGCTTATCAGGGTCGCCAATTATTCTACAGACTCAAACAGTTACCTAGTTGATGACACACTATAGACCTCATAACTATAACAAAGAATGTCAAATATCCCAGACCTCATAGCTTATCAGGGTCGCCAATTATTCTACAGACTCAAACAGTTACCTAGTTGATGACACACTATAGACCTCATAACTATAACAAAGAATGTCAAATATCCCAGACCTCATAGCTTATCAGGGTCGCCAATTATTCTACAGACTCAAACAGTTACCTAGTTGATGACACACTATAGACCTCATAACTATAACAAAGAATGTCAAATATCCCAGACCTCATAGCTTATCAGGGTCGCCAATTATTCTACAGACTCAAACAGTTACCTAGTTGATGACACACTATAGACCTCATAACTATAACAAAGAATGTCAAATATCCCAGACCTCATAGCTTATCAGGGTCGCCAATTATTCTACAGACTCAAACAGTTACCTAGTTGATGACACACTATAGACCTCATAACTATAACAAAGAATGTCAAATATCCCAGACCTCATAGCTTATCAGGGTCGCCAATTATTCTACAGACTCAAACAGTTACCTAGTTGATGACACACTATAGACCTCATAGCTATAACAAAGAATGTCAAATATCCCAGACCTCATAGCTTATCAGGGTCGCCAATTATTCTAAAGACTCCAACAGTTAGCTGGTTGATGAAACACTATAGACCTCATAGCTCACCGCAGCTGTCAATTACTCCAGACCTCATAGCTTATCAGGACTGTCAATTACTCCAGACTGCAACAGTTACCTGGTTGATGAAACACTACAGACCTCATAGCTCACCCCAGCTGTCAATTACTCCAGACTCCTACAGTTAGCTGGTTGATGAAACACTTTAGACCTCATAGCTCACCGCAGCTGTCAATTACCCCAGACCTCATAGCTTATCAGGACTGTCAATTACTCTAGACTCCTACAGTTAGCTGGTTGATGAAACACTACAGACCTCATGGCTCACCGCAGCTGTCAATTACTCCAGACTCCTACAGTTAGCTGGTTGATGAAAAACTTTAGACCTCATAGCTCACCGCAGCTGTCAATTACCCCAGACCTCATAGCTTATCAGGACTGTCAATTACTCTAGACTCCTACAGTTAGCTGGTTGATGAAACACTACAGACCTCATAGCTCACCGCAGCTGTCAATTACTCCAGACCTCATAGCTCACCACAGCTGTCAATTACCCCAGACCTCATAGCTCACCACAGCTGTCAATTACCCCAGACCTTGTGTCTAACTGAGTCTGTTAAATGCTCTAGATCCTGGTTTATTACTTTGGCTGTTTAATTGTCTTAAACCTAAAGGCAACAATATTGACAATATGACAACTGCGACACTTCAAATATAATTTGATGACATCAGGTGTTCTGTGTCATGACTCATATGACTTCATCTTCTTTCAATGATCTTAATTCCTGTTCTCTGAGTGAGTATGTCAAACATATCATACAGATAAATGCAAAAAAAAATATTGAAAAATTCTGGTAGAATGTCAAGTTTAGGTAAGGAAAAAGCAAATTTAGCGCCCTCCAGATATACAATATATTCAATAAGGACATCTACAAAGGCAGCAGATATATAAGTCAGCTACTTACTCTAACACATAGCTGATATTTACAGCACTACTGTAGCTACGGTGTAATACAAGTCTAGGATCTAGGATGGCAGCAAGCTCTACGTTCAGCCAAGAGTATATATCTACAATCTTACGTTACCTCTTCTTATTTCTGATAAGTTTGATTGCAACCTCTGACCCCTGTTTGTGATCAATTGCCTTGATCACCTGACCAAACGATCCTTTTCCAAGAATGTCCAAAATTTCATATCGGAATGCAAGATGGTCGTTAACGTGCTAAAAATAAATTTATTTTATAAAATGATGTGGTCTAACTGGATGCTTGGATACTTGATAAGGTTTCTACAGTACATGGATCATAATTTGTTTATATATTGGGATTTATTTAATAATAGATAAATCCAACATGGTTGTTACACCATGAAACCAGAAGGAGCTACCCCTCTTGGCTTTACTGATCAGAGTTAACTCCTCCTGTCCTTTTAGAAAATTCTAATTGATTTGGAGCTGTCAGCAGAAAAATTATCAATTTAACTCATTCACCCCTGAAATTTCATAATGAACTATCCCAACCTTTGAATTGGAAGAGTTCAAATTTGTCTTCAGGGGTGAATGAGTTAATTTCTAACTTGTTCAATTGACACTTTAAAAACCTACTTAGCATGTTTTTCTTCAATATCATAAAATCAATATCATTCTAGGACCAGTAGAAGTCAAGTCTTTTTACTCATTCATTCCTGTATTTTGATTGGAGCAGTACACATGCATTGTTAGTATCAATGGGGTGAGTTGACGATGGACAACAGACAACGGACCACAGTATGTGGTCATTTGTCCATTTGTCCATTTGAACTAAGTGAGCTAAACATGTAAGCTTACTTGATTCTTAGTTCACAAATAAAATCTTCAAAAATAACATCATATCTATCACCGTTCAAAAATAACATCATATCTATCTCCGATTAGATGTATCAAACAAAGTTTTGAAAATGATTAACTACAGATGTTTCTTATTTACCTAAGCTATGAAATGAGCTTCATAACATGGATTTCACTGCTGGTGTCTAAAATCTATCATATTCAAATTTACAGCTTGACCTTCTAAAACAGATGTACAGACATAGAAACCCAAAATAAAAATAAAACATGGATATTTGTTCAAAGCCTGATTGATTTCACAATTTGTTCACTGAAAATTGTGATATTTGAGAAATATATTCTTGTTTACAAATAAGTTTGCATCTTTTGATCACCAGGAATCCTGATGCATGTAATTTTGGTCATTACTTTCAATATCTTTGAAAATATTTTAGGCTTCATAATTCTGTTTGTTCAAATGTTGAACAGCAAGAAATTATCTTAGCAATCTTGGATAATTTTCACCACCATTGAAACTTCTAGTAACGTATTTCAGGGGTGTACGATTCATTAGCCTGCCATCCGGTTTACTCAATTTTATACCAGGGCTTGTAAAGTTTTCAATATTTACTCTGAAATCATTGGTTGGGCTAGTAGAATTTTTCAAAATTCTGCCTCTCATATAGTGCTTCTTGTTTAAAGTTCAAGCCCTGGGGCAGATGATTTGCAGAATTTTTGAAAATGTTTATTAGCCTGACCTATGATTTCATCATGATCAAGTATATATTTATTATGTCCGATATTGTAGTTGAGTGAACAGGATCCTCACAGTGAAACCATCTACCTTGATGTAGGACCCACTCTCATCATCATATCCATTATTCTGTGCACCGCCCGGAACGCCCTCAATCTTCTTCGCTTCCAAACCCAGGAACCAGATCTCTGGGTAGTCTAGGATTTCTGTCTGCTCAAAGGCCGTTAGCTTGTTCCTGTACAGCTTTAGGGCCTCTGGAAATCCAACATTATAATACCTGTGGATTGCCTTTTGATTTTGCATAGGTCATCAGGGGATAGTTATAACAAATTGAAAATAAATCACAGAAAATTCATCAAAGTTCAAATGAAGTTACCACTTAATAATCTGGACAAAAATGGAAGGTAAAACTTTATATTCATGCTTTTATTCATAACCATTACTTGTTTCCATCCATCCATTTTGAGATTTTCGATTTTATTTTAGCACAAACAGTTATTTTGCCAACTAAAAAATCGTTATTTATTGCAACGTCTCTGATACGATAATGTAGAATTTCCCCATCCAAACATTCCAACATTATGATAGACATTTTTTTACCTGAGGGAGACATGACCTTTTCTAAGGAGACATATATACCTGAGGGAGACATAGGAAGCTTGTTGCCATATTGATCGCGTTTTGAGCGATCGGGCGTGGCGGTGGTGGAGAAGGAGTTTTGCCGCGTGACTGGTTCTGGTTGCGACTTGTTCAGCTGCGGCAATGTGTTGGAGTCATTGTCATGGTGACCGTGTTTCTGGTGGCTATGGTGGTGATCTTTCTGGTGGCTGAGATGAGGCAGTGTGGTGGGAGCTACGGTGGCGACTAACTTACCACCCTGAAACAAATCACAAGTATATAACTGTTGCTAAACTGTGGAAAAAAGTTAGTTTTAACTATTTGATTCCGACTAGAATAACATCACATTCAAAATGAAATCTTGATTGTCTAATAAGTATGAAATATTACCTCAAAAAAGAATTTTCACAAGAGAAAGATCAAATCATTAACTAACTTTAAACATCTAGAAACTCACCTATCTACAACAGGATTAGTGGTGAATTAACCAGTGTGACCCTGACCTCTTTATTGATGACCTGACTTTAGGACTATCTTGACCTGACTTGTAACCTCTGACCTCTTGAACAATAACCCCTGAAGCTTGATCTGAGTGAAGGACAATTTGACCTGTCATGTAACATGTGACCTCCTTAGCAATGATCCTGATGTTTGTTCTGAGTAAAGTACTAAATGACCTGTCTTGTAACCTCTGATCTTTTGAGCAATGACCCCTGAAGCTTGATCTTTGTAAAGAATTGTGTGGAACCTGTCTTGTAATTCCTGACCTTTTGACCAATGACCCCTGGTTCTAGTAAAGAACCTTGACCTGTATTGGCATTTATATATAAATCCCCTCATAGATGACCTCTAAATTAGTGTTTTCCATGTGAACCATGACTAGAACATGGACGAACCCTGACCTGTTTGACCCTTAACCTATTAATAATGACTCCTGACCTGTACATACCTCCTGGTGGATGGCCCCTGACCTTTATGACCCTAACCTACTGACCCCTGACCTGTACACACCTCCTGGTGAATGGCTCCTGACCTTTATGACCCCTAACCTATTAGGAGGTGGATGGCTCCTGACCTTTATGACCCCTAACCTATTAATACTGACTCCTGACCTGTACATACCTCATGGTGGATGACTCTTGACCTGTCTGACCTTTAATCTAATAATACTGACCCCTGACCTGTACATACCTCCTGGTGGACGACTCCTGACCTTTGTGACCTTTAACCTATTAACACTGACCCCTGACCTGTACAAATCTACTGATGGACGACTCTTGACCTGTCTGACCTTGAACATTTTTACACTGACCCCTGACCTGTATATATACCTCCTGGTAGATGACTCCTGGCCTTTGCGACCTTTAACCTATTAACACTGACCCCTGACCTGTACATACCTCCTGGTGGATGACTCCTGCCTTGTGTTTGGAGGATGGTTTGTGACTTGACCCGCTGACCTGTGATTGGTACTTGCCCTCCCCATTCAGCCTGTTGGAGCGCTGTATGTTAGCATGCTGCGGGCTCTACAATAAACAAAATCATTTTTTTTATAAAAGATATATATATAAATTTCTTTCTTTGAAAAAAAGGTCATCTGTATTTCAGTTGTATAATGATACAATTGCACTAGAACTCTTGTAACTGTTAGGTATAGCCACATTGACCATCTGATTGAGCTGGATGCTTTACAGGTGCCCTCATCACAAATTAGATACCTGTTGCAGAATTCCTGTTACTGTTTAAGTAGCCACAGTAATGATTATAATTACTGTATTTATTCTGCAATAGGCCCAACACCTAATTTTTGACTCAAAGTAGGGTAGGGGGCTTATATCACAGGATAATGAAAGAGTGTTTGATGGTTTGAAATGCAATAGATATCGATGGGCTTATCAACAGGCATGGGCTTATTGTTTTGGAAAAATAGAGTATTGCCTGAAATGCTAATATAACAATGCTCTCACCACAATCTAAACTACCTGCTGTAGAAGTGTTGTGACTATTTGGTAACAGAACTGTCCAAGCCAAGTAAGTGGTGCAAGAAATGTCTACCTAACATCCCATTTTACATGTGATATCAAAACGGGACAACAATGAAATCAGAAGATTTCCTTTGGAAAGGAGATAATGTTCTGTAAAGGTTGTTTTTTCGAGTGGTTCTAATTTTTCGTTTTGTGAAAACTGTAACTGGTAAAATGAATCAATCTTTTAGATACTAGGGAATCACATAAAGAATGGTTTCCGAGAAATTGACCATTTTAGCAATCTGCACCAAAAGTTAGGGACTGCAACCAAAACAAGAGGCCCATGGGCCTAAACGGTCACCTGAGTCTACAGTATTTATTTTTGTTGTTGAAATATGTACCAATTTGAGTAAAAAATAGTATAATGTTAACTTAACTTTGTCAGGACCATGAGCTGATCATTCCTAGACCAATTTTAAGTGAGATCGGCCTATTAGAACTTAGTAGCAAAATAGCGGCCATGGCAGCCAAATTGTATTTCTGATTGACCCGAAAAATAACAACACTTTGTCAGGACCATGATTCGATCATTCCTACAAAGTTTCAGTTCAATCGGCCAAGTAGATCTTTACTTTAAGTTTGAAATAGTTTTTCAAAATGGCAGCCGTGGTGGCCATATTGGATT